GTGGCGCCCACACGTTAACGACGGGCAAGACACTTTGTTATAAAATGCGCGCGAATGTACACAGTCTCAAGCATCCGTGGAGAGGAGACGCCGGGTAGGTCTAATAAGCGATAACCTTTAAACAGCTAAATATATTGAAATAATCAAACCGGTAAAAGCATTATTAAAACAACTATTAAAGAACAACACATTTGTTAATAACTATACCTGTGTTTGTATGTATTATCCAACACGTGTATAATCCAACAACGTTTCCCAATTTCGTTTTCTAAATAATTTATTTTTCATAAAAGGAATAGGCTACACTTTAGGTATTTCTAATAGGATACTTGAAAATAAGCGATGCTATTGAAGTGATTTTTAAAACTTTTTACTGCATAATCTAATTTATACAAGAAGCTATCATATCATTGTGCTAGTACATACTAATGTGGCCTTCTACCAATAAATAAATAATAAAGCAATTTTACACATAATGTAATAATAATAAAAGAAATTGGGAAATTGGGGATTGTTACCATTGTGCTTCGCAACGACTGTATGACGCAAATATTAAGGAGGCACGCATACAGTTATCAATCATTTAAAAATTAACACCGCAAGAACAAAAAAATACATAACTTAGAAAACAGGTAGAAACTTAAAAAACTGAAAATTAAAATTTAAGTCATTTATAAGACAATATTTAAAAAAAACGATAAATCGAAACAAATCAAATTAAAAAAAAAAATTAAAAAATACTAATTTTTACTCCAACAAAAAATCAATGTGTATTTCCAATACTTTATTTTTAATATATTTAGTAAAAAAATTACATCAATTTATGTACATCCACAAAATTGTAATATTCTGCACAAAGCAATTGCACAGACGAACATGATTATATTTGAAGAACTATATAATAATTGTAATTCTCACTGTAACAGTCAAAACTATCAATTGACCGTTTTATTGCAAAATAATAATAAGAAATGTAACAGTGAAAATTATTTATAAGCGTAATAAATGATGTTCGATAATTTACAAGATATAATTTAGCTTTTGTAGAAAGTTAATAATTAATACCTAAATATAAATGTCTTGTGTTATTAAAAATATCTGATAAAATAGAAACAAAAAACAATATTCATTACAATTACAAACAGCGGAGGCGGGATAATTATAGAAAAAGCATCGAACGTGAATAATTCCAATATTGTCAATATTAAACACTACAAAATAATACTAATAAGTAAGAATAGTCTAAATTAGTACTTTTTCCTTAATTTACGTTTAACATTGCTTTTATTATTACAAAATTTATCGTCGCTAAATTTTATTGCAAACGAATTCAGCAAATATGAGATTCAATTTCATGATAATGCGTGCTCTTACTTTATGATGGACAAAATTGTTTTGCAAAATTTTAAAGTGCTTATTCAGAATTATGTATTATATTTAACTATAACGATTCTTGTGTCTATTAGCTCTTCTATTACCTATATATTTTATTGCAAAACATGCAAATGCGTTTCATAATATTTGCATTCTTGTTATTTCGTCACGTTATGTTTTAAGAAATGCACATTATCAATTAGAGATCATAAAATAATATGAGATCTCGTATAGTTTGGTAAAATTTATATTATAACGGATAAAGAAAAAAACATATAACATCGTAATTCACAACCCTAATCCATACTTCCGACATCGTGATCCTACAAAATTCCATTTCTTTTAAAATGACTAGATGTTTTCTATTCCATGGCAAAATTGTTTTTTATTCTTCCTAAGCAATATTTTATTAGCCCCTTAACTGACCTAACTGAAATTCTTATTATAAACAAATCAGGTGCATAAAAGTTAAAAAAATACAAAGTTCCTTACATGCTAATATAGTCTGAAACCAGTGTTTATCACTGGGTTACTGTTAGCTATGGCAAGTTTAACATTATAAACATCGTAACAACTATTATTCTGATCGTTCCGTGAATCTGAAGACATTTAACATTAAACCTTTTCGTCTGAAATTTGTACAAACTAATAACCGGGAGCCGTCCAATCACTCAACAATAACACTGTGTAAAGATAAACTATTGTGTATAAAAAATATCACTATTGTACATGCCGTTCTTCACGACTTTATGTAACGTCGCGAGAACGACACAAAAACGGATGAGTTCCACCCTTTCCGTCGCGATTTCGGTACAAAATAAATTATACTCTATTTACGAAAATACGTATTTGCTAGGAACGCGACGGAAAGATTCGAACGTATGGATAACGTGTATAATGTAGGTATGTATGTATAATATGTAACCTGTAAATAACCTATGATAAATCAGCACCGGTTGCAACAAATGCTTTAACAACGATCAGTCTATTGTCAGAAAGGAAGGTACTTAAGCGTTTCCCTTAACGAGTCCCAGTTAGTCACAGAAACCTACAAATAACATGACGCGGCGTGACTCAGGGGGCTGAGTTCATCGACTCATTTTATATATCTGTCGCATGGTGTATTTATTTATTAACAAAAGTAGTAATTAACAATTGATAAACAAAATTAAAGGTTACTTATAATATAATCGAACCAAATGGGACTCGTTAAAGCAACGTATGTCTGGCACTCGGTATAATTATTGAAAGGCACGCAATAAGCGGAGAGGTGACGGCAGAAAGGCCCCCGGCGACACTCCGATCACAGACTAGATACATCTACAGACAGTCTTCGTTACGACGCCTCCTTATGAGCCACGTCATCGCAGTGCGACCCAACCACGAGGAACAATACAATACGCACTTTCCGCATCGATGAGTTTCATAAATGCAACTTTAGTAATCTAACGTAAAAAGTGGAGAAACTTTGATTGATACACTATTGTACCCCTCGTTGAAGACTACAAAAAAGGACCAGCGCGACGATCATTATATTAAAACTAACAATTGCATGTAATGAGTATCCTGGTATATATACGAGGTGCCCTAATATTTGAACACGTATATTATTTCCCAGATACAAACATGTATTTAATATTATTCAAATATAG